GCCTTTCTGTAAATCTCTTGGACCAGTTTTATCGTTCATAGATATGTCTCAGTCCATTTGGGCTGCTTTATAAACAGCAGACATGTATTGCTCACAGTCCTGGAGGCCTGGAAAGTCCCAAGATCAAGGCAGCCATGCTGGCTACCATCCGGTGGGGGCCCCTTTCCTGGTTCATAGCCAGCGCCTTCTGGCTGCATCCTTCCATGGTGCCAGGGGCAGGGATCCCTCCAGAGCCTTTTAGAAAAGCACTAACCCCATTCATGAGGGCTCCCCCATCTTGACCTCAGCACTTCGAAAGCCCCACCTCCTAGTACCATCATCTTTGGGGGTCAGGATGTCAACAGATGAATTTAGGGGGAGCACAAATACTCAGACCGTGGTAGTTTGCTTCATCTTACAGCGATCTTTCCTGTAAGTCCTAGAATGGGGAAGCTGACTCCTTGAACGCTCTGGTTGGGGCTGTCCCCACCCAAGGGGCACAGCGGCTCACTCTTGCTTACCTTTCATGTCCTTCTTGCTCTGCTGAATTTTCAAGGTCTTATCCTGTTTCTGCCTAGTCAACTTCACCTACTTAAGTACTTAGGGGACAGAGCACTGTCACTTAGCTGATTCCTGTATTTGTCAGGCTCATACTGCTTGCTTTTTATCCTTCAGCCTTTCCAGATCACGTCTGTCCTTTAAATATAAGCTGAGGTCGTGTGTGGCTCAGAGCCTTGCCCACATGACTTGGTCCCACATGAAGGGTTCGTTTCTCAGGATTCTTTCTCTGCTCATGGTTTGTACTGCTCAGTTTATCAGTTGATTTGTGTGTGCCTGGTTTTTCCTTTCTTTTCAGGTGAGTTCTTTTAGGCAGATACTAGACTGGCCCTTTTTGTAGTGTGATGTGGAAGATACTCCGTAAGTATTTTTGATCCTGATACTGACTCCTAGACTAATAGGTGCTCAAGCAGGAAAAACCAGGTGTAGAATAAGTTGTTACTAGTTGCTTTACCAAGAAATTAAGAGAAAATAAACTGAATTTATTAAAGGTATTGTGAATGAGTCTTACATAGATTAGAAACAAACAAACAAAACAAGAACAGCAACCTCAGAGTCTCTGTTACACAAGTATTTATAAAATATACCAGGAAAACAAAATTACTAATTAAGACATAAAGCATGAATACTATTTCAAAACTGGGAAAGCTTTGTTACATTTAAGGGACTTTAAATTTTGATAATCCAGCTGAGAGTGAAGGATAAGTTTGTTTAAATATGAATACTCATTTTAAACATAATAGCTGCCAGATTTCATGAGACTTAATGGAAACACGTGTTTATGCGTTCTGAAGTCCAGACAGGGCCTAGTCTCGGGACGTGCGTGAACTGCAGCGTGCAGTTTCCCTGCGTCGTTATGAGGCCACACAGTTGTTTGAGTGAATTTATACGCCTTCCAAATCTTAGCAGGTTTCCTACACAGTTTCTCCTTCAGCAGAGCTTCCAGGAGTTTGGCTCTTTCTGATCTCAGATTTTCCGTGATGATCTGCTTTTTCTGGGTGTGCTTGGGTTCTGCCTTCTTCCCTGGGAGTCTCCAGTTTCGGGCTCGGAGGGGCTGGTCTGTGTTCTGAGACTCTTACCCCAGCCAGAGCGGGATCGCCTGGCTTCCTTCCCGTTTATGAAGCGCTCTTGTGTTATAATCACGGGCATTTAGCTCTGACTACCGTAGCCTTTCTCGTTTGCTGGGTCGCATTGATGTTTTTCATTTTACCCTGTTTACACTTGTCATAGTGCAGTGCTGCCTTTCCGAGAGCTGGTGTTGACAGGCCGAGCTGGCAGATTAAATGTGGGCCGCCCTGAGCCCTGATCCCCTCTCCCCTTCCTTCCTTTCTCTTCATTCAGCAGAGTCCTTGTCACCAGGGCAGAGCTAATGGGACCCAGGGAGCACCAGACAAGACTAAAGTGGCCGTGGCCGCCTCAGGTCACACTTTTAGATGGAGGTGTTTGAGCCGTATCAGAGATTCTAAATTTTAATTAATACAACTGTTTAAAACTTTTACTGCATCTTTGATTTTTTCAGAAAGTCTCGCTTGGAACTTAAATAAAGGAAACAGATAAATTCTGGCCCTGGTTGAAGGCTGGCTCTCGCTGCACCACCACCCCCCCCGCCCCCCACCCCAGGTACCTCCATGTAGCCCTGGGCTGTAAGGAAAGCAGTTCAGAGTGACTGACTGTGACATGTCCCGTGTTGAGGCCCAGTCCTGCTGGCTTCAGTTTTGTTCTGTTCTGAGGTGTCTGGCTGATCATGACCATTGCTGAGCAGCTCCTTTCCTTCTCTCCGCATGTTGTTAAAACCAGTCTTTCACCTGCTAGTTTTATTTTAGTAAACAGTTAATCCCATTCATGCGGTTACGTAGGCTGAAGACGTCCGCGTGGCCTTGGTTCTTCTTCCTCTCCACTTCCAGTTCCTTGGCAGATCATGCTGGTTTTCTGCCCTCAACATACGTCCACTTTGCCATCCCAGTCAGCCTCTTTTTGTGCTTCTAGAAACTGCAGAAGCCAACAAGCAGTCTTCTTTTTTCACTCTCCACCCCGACCCCCCGGCATCTGTTACGGTGGTTAATTACATGGATTCCGAAACTAGACTGCCTGCATTTGTGCCTGGTTCTGCTGTCATGTGCCATGGAGGACGCTGATCAACCTTTCTGGCCTCAGTGTCCTTAATGGTTAAATGAAGATGAGGACGATGATTCTGTTTACCTCATACGGTTGTATCAGATAAGTTACTGCACATAAATTCCTTAGAATAGTGCTCGGCAAATGGTAAACATCCAAGAAGCGTTGGGTAGTGGGTGGTATGGAGGTTACCGCAGTTGGTATTTTTTATTCATACGATAAAACTGACCTTCTTCGAACATCAGTCAGATGTGTTCTCCACTGACTTCCTGTCGCTTTCATGGCCACATCCAGGGTCCTTACTGCGGCTGGCAGGGCCCTCTGGACCACTCTGCCCTTTCCGCTCCCCTCCAGCTGCCCGCCCTTTCTCCCTCCTCGCAGCCCCTCTCCTAGACGTGCTCCCCAGCGCGCATCTGCACGACCCGCCGCTGCCTTCATTTAAGTCTCTGCTCAGACGTCAGCTCTTCCCTGACCTCTGTTCAGGTATCATCCTGTCACTTTCTCTGTCCTTCAACTTAATTGTTTTTCATAGTTGATGAAAATAGCGACTGAAACTTGATGCTGTATGCCAGAAATTGACACATGGTAGACTGACTATACTTCAGTTAAAAAAAAGTATCACACTCTAACATCACATTATATATCTATTGTGCTGGGCTCCAGAATAAATGAAAGCAGCAGGTTTTGTCTCTTTTGTTCATATTTTAGCCCCAGGGCCTTCTATACAGAAAGTAGGTGCTTAAGAGCTGTTTGGAGGATGGGATGGGATTGGTTGAGATGGGATGGGATGGGATGGAGAAGACGAACAAAGAAAGATTTTCCCCTTCATCCTTACAGGAGGAATGCTGAGGCTACCAGGTAGTTTGGAGAGAGGTCTGAATGAAATTTTTTGAGATGAGATCACTTTAGGGAAGAGTTCAGATTGGTTTTTATTTTCCCCATTCTTTTTCGTGGATAAGAAGTGATCATGTAATTCACTGTGATTGTCTCAGTTAATCATAAACGAATTAATTGCCCTGTTAAATTGTTAAGTGCCTTTTCATAGTTACTGTTCAAGGTCTGCTACACACACCTTTCCTTAGCAGCTAATGACAAGGAAACTCTTTAGGTTTATCTTTTATTGGTCACTATTAAATCCACTAAATCCATGTCATTCTCCGTGTTATTACCAACTTCAAGTCCCAAGAGGAGGAATTTAATGTCTGGAAGCAGGAAAAAGAGAGACATATGTAATCTTCATCAAAAATTCTGTTTTTGATAAAGAGCAGTAGGTCCGGGGTATTTATGAAAATGTTATTTTTTTTTCAAGTATTCAGATTTAAAATGCTTCCTAGTCTCTCAGAGATGGAACAGAATTACTTATTCACTAACAGTTGAATATGAATTTTTAAAATTAGCATTTGCCATTTATCTCAAGTAATGATTTAATTTAGTTTGTTAACTTTATACTAATTCATCAATGTTAGTTCATTAAGTCTAATACATGAAGAAATTGGAGAAACAAAGGATTTCAAGAAGATCTGATAACCTTGAGCATCTTTGCTTTTGTTTCCTTCATAATTGCTGAGGTTTTTTTTAAAAAATCACTCTTACTAATTTCAGTTATTAATTATAATGGACTACATTTCTGGGACGTGTAAGTTACTTGGTGCTTTTTGTTTTGGGCCTCTTATACCTTCGTGCTTTAGCACCCAGCGGGCTTCTGAACTACATCTTGTTATATAATCTCAGTGGAAAAATAACTTTCTCTCTGACTTGGAGAGGGGTTTGTCACATACTAATGTATCATTTAGCCTCTTTTTTAAAATCACTGACATTAAGTGAATGAGTTAATATTTGGAGTTGACCTTTTAAATTACGACCATCCAAATTGGTACCACTCAGAGATGGTGTCGGAGTGGGTGTGCGACTGTCCACGTCAGTGCAGATGTTGTGTGGTGAGCTCAGGGCGGGTGGGCGTCTCCCGTGGAGCAGGCTAAAACCCACCTGGTCTTGCTTATCAATATGAATAAAGGTCACAAAGAGGGTCCCGCAGGTTTTCTGACCTTCGGGCTTTCAGGCAGGGGCACCGGCTTGTGACGGCCGCGTGTTCACAGCAGTGCTGCTCGGGTCCTTTGATGTCGGCTTTTCCCATCGCTGTGTCGGGGGAGTCACCAGCCTGCCCCGTGTTCTTTATAAATGTCAGCATGGAAGATCTTTACCTCTTCTAACCTACAAAACACGATTTTTATTAGAAGAATTTAAGCGCATGTCAGGGTAGCCAAAAATCTGAGATCTTTGTCCTAAGCTGATTTCCCTTTTTATTCATACAGGAACTTTAAAAATCATTCTTCTTCTTCTTTCTACAGGCTATGGTTGCTTGTTATCCAGGCAATGGAACGGGTTATGTACGTCATGTCGATAATCCAAATGGAGACGGAAGATGTGTGACGTGTATATATTATCTTAATAAAGACTGGGATGCCAAGGTACGCAGCAGAGCAGAGCAGCTTTTTTTTTTTTTCTCACCGTGGTTTTGTTCTCACTGGTATTAAGATTCCTACTCCTCATAGGTGGGCCTGTCTTTAACACATGTAACAGTTAACAGCTGTCTCCTTGGCTGTGTTTCAGTTTCAGGTATTAGGAGTGGATCTTTGTGAGGCGAGCAGATACTAACACATCTCAAACAGTGGGTTCCCTTTTTTTCAGATAGGGAAGCATTCATCCCAAATTTAACTTTTACCAAGTGTCTTTTATTAAACAATATTCCTTTTAATAGCTTTTATTAAAACACTTCTGAGAATGTTTGTTTTATCATAGCTTTTGAAGGAGATTATGTCTGAATGATTGTTAAGAAGTATTTGCTGCTTATGCCTGCATTTTACTCTTTACACTGTTGAGCAGAGGTTCTGTCTGCCAGTGGGTTGTTGGACTGAATGTCGGAGGCAGAATTCCTTCTTTCCCTGATGATGGAAAAACTAGGCGTTAATACCGATAAATCCTATAAACCAATTAGAATATTTAATACATTTACTCTCTCTTATTTTAAATATATATATTTCCTTAATATTAGCCCAAGTTTCAATTAAATTTAAATGGCTTAAACTTTAGAAGTATGTCATGTATTATTGCATTGGAAGTTGTAGAAGCTAATTTTTGGTTGATTTTTTTTTTTAAATCTTTTAAAATTTACTTGATTAAAGCAAAATATTCACATAGAAAAAGTGAACACAGTGTATATCGTAGTGAATTTTCAGAGTGAACACACTTGTGTAGCCAGGGTGATTTTTTAAAATCAAATAACCTTTAAAACACCTCTGCCCACAACCCACACATACACTCACAAGTGGCAATCACCAAGTCTTAAACGTTGCAAAGACCTAGTCCTGTCCTAAAAGCATATCCTAAAATGCAGGAGATGCTCGCAGTGCTCCAGTCATTTTTCTATACCATATTGATTTAAAGAACTTCCTCTGTTCTACTTCAGGTTCAAAATGGAGGAAGTTTCACTGCTAAGTAGATTTTGAGGCATTCATGTCGACAAGCATGCCTTTCTGACAATAGCTTTCACAGTGAAGTAAAGAAAGCAATTTGGTAATTCATCCTGAGCTCAGTGCACAAAACAGATTGGTGTAACTTTGGTTAAAACTTAAAATACTTAAAATTTTTTCCCCAGATTTTGTGAATGTCTAGAAAGCTAGAAATGTGTTTGTGCAATTCCTAACTTCTGTATTTTGTGGATCTTCTGTTAGGTCCTTTCTAGGCTGATCACCTTTTAATTTTGTTATGACCTAGCCAACGTCATTAATAGATAATGTTTTAAAATTAGTACATGAGCAGAAAAAAGTCTTCAGTATTTTTACATGTAGAACTGGAAACTTCCACTGCAAGATTGCACTGAATGTGAGCAGGGCACAGACGTTGCTCTGGGTGCTGGAGACAGAGCGGCAATAGAAATGGCCCTCATACAGCTTGGGCTCAAGTGGAGGGGACAGATCAGGGGGTAGACAGTGACAGCTGGACGTGTGGGAGCACGTGGGAGGGCCACTGCATTCAGAGGTCAGCAAATGTTTCCCAGAGGAAGATTGGAAGCTTCAACTGTCTCTTTTGAAACGTTTTCAGCCGATCACCTGTGCTGTTCCCAGGGACTCCCGTCAAAGGCGGGAGGGCAGGAGAAAGAAAAGAGGACGTGTTCCCGGTCAGTCTAGAGGTTCTTTAGATGTTTGCCTGAGTGCCGGGGAGTCACGCGGGGCACCGCCGGACCCTGAGGAAGGCGGGCCTGGTACCAGGTCGCCCGCGTTTCCCTCAGGAGGACGAGCCGGCTTCCCTCACTGCAGTCGGGTCGAGGGTCCGCCGGCCTCCATGGTGTCTGGGTCGGGTATCAGCGCTCCTTTCAGTTTCACATCTGCCTCTTGAGAAGTTTAGTTTTTCGAGGGTAAAGGGCTTCTCTGGGGCGGGTTTGTCTTCCTTTACTCCTGCCCAGATTATGGTCACCACGAGGACATCTGTCTGCATCAGCCCTCTCTGCTCCCAGCGCCCAGAGCAGGAAGCACTCAGTGGTGGACTCGGTAGGTGAGTCCGTCTGACCCCAGACGGAGGAGGGTGTGTGCTGGGCTGCGCAGCACTGATCCCTCCTGCATGGAGCCCAGTCGTGGAAGCAGGTGGTCACAGCAGTCACCTGGGTGCCAGGCCCCGTCTGACGATGGCCACAGTGGCGGGGATGACTGAGACGTGGTGACACTTCCTGCTGGTAGATGGAATCCTTAAACAAGAGGCATTAGACTTGTGACTGCTCTTAATGTTACCTGTCGAGCTTTAAAACACGATGAACTATCTCTTTGACATATGTAACCATTTGCAGTAATGTTGCCAGGACGACTTGAAATGGATGTATTTTTAAGAGTAGGTTACCAGTGATTAAGACTTTAAAGTGTCATTTTGAAGACTTTTGAATTCAGATAATATTCATCCATTTCATCAAGTATTTACAAAAATCCCTAAAACAAGAAACGACCTTTTCTCTGCGTCAATGTGTGTATTGAAGTCTCCGCTCGCTCGCTCACCTTGTTCACTGAGATACATTTGTGAGTAATGCAGTTAAGAATTCTGCATGACTGAAATGGGCCTCTGTCCCCCTCGCCCCAGTTCGGCTGTATCGCATTCTTGGTCACGTGTACTTACATATTTGGCTCTTTTCCTAGGTAAGTGGAGGTATACTTCGAATTTTTCCAGAAGGCAAAGCCCAGTTTGCTGACATTGAACCCAAATTCGATAGACTGCTGTTTTTCTGGTCTGACCGTCGCAACCCCCATGAAGTACAGCCGGCATATGCTACAAGGTGGGGTTCTTTTTAAGAAAAAATTGGGAATTCAAAAATTGCACCTCTCGGGGAGTGATGGAAATGTTAGCTACATGATTGTGGTGGTGGTTTCATGGGTGTAGACATCCATCAAAATTCATCAAATTGTACATCTGAAGTATGTGTAGTTTACTGTACGGGAACCATACCACAATAAAGATGTTAAAAAAATAAAATGAAAGAAAAAACTGGCTAAAAGTATAGTAGGCTTGGAGGGGACAGGATAAAATAAACTTGGAAGCTTTCTAACGAGTATCTTCCTGTTTTCAGTCACATGTATCATAAGGCTTTGGTCATTAACTGTTTTAATTTGAGTAATTTCATAAGGTTTACTCACCGTTAGTGCTGAGTGTGGCTTTCCTTGCACAGCCGCTCCGTGTCGGGGGGAAGACGCGGAGGCCCAGGCCCTCCTGTCTTTCCAGCTCTGTCTCCTTGTTTTCTGTCTCTTAACTGCTGTCCATTCTAGGACCTGGTGAGAGTCTTCACCAGGGGGCTGAGGATTAGACAGAGGAGGGAAAGGGCAGGTGTTTAGAAGATGGCTGGGCGGGGGGATGGAGGAAATAAGAGGTGACCAGAGAGTAGAAGTGGAGCGAAAAGAAGAGTAGAAGAAGAAAGAAAAGTAGAGAAAAGGTTGCCGTGTGTGAGGTCGTGTTGGAAAAGTCACCTTCAGCTCTCACAGTGAGCCTCTGTTAGGCTTATTGTATATTCTTTTTTACATTTTCTGCTTTATACTCTTTGTCTACAAAGTTCAAATATAAACCAATTATATTTAATGTATTCTTAAAAGTTTTTTTTAACCGTTTACCATGACTCAAATAAAACGTTAAGACTGTTACAATGGAGGATGTCACAGACCCCATTATAAAAAAAAATATTTGTAGGGAAAAAAAGTGCTGTTTTTTAAGTCCCTGTTTTTCATTATAGAAGGGCTTTGGACATTATGGTGATGAGTTACTGGCGTGCAGTTGCTTAGAGCTGGTGAGATGCCCTTAGGTTCCCAGAGAGAGGAGCTGGCTCTTGGTAATGTTAGAGGTGGGCCAGCCTGTGACGAGGCCCACATTCTGAAGACTGTTGTCACCTTCCCCTGTTTTCTTGTTTCCTCGCCCTGAATTCATATAGTGAGTAGCACGCTGAGCAGTGTGTGGCAGAGGTCAGGGGAAGCTGTGCGTGGCACCTGAGGGGAGGGGTGGGGGTACCGTCCCAGCACGTGCTGTGCCGTCCCAGGGCCCGACCTGTGCCCCCACTGCTGACCTAGACCCTGCTTCGTAGACTGTCCTTTCTATGGGATCTTGAGTATGCTCTGGTGTCGCCCTTCCAGATGAAGAGCCGACAGACATGTTTAGGTAGCAAGTAAATGTCAAACGACTGCGGTGTGCTACAAGAGTTTGGAGGGAGAGAGAGGGGTTAAATTAGCCGTGGGTCTGCTGTCGCCGTGAGGAGAGGGCTCAGCTGGGCCTGGAGTGACCGCAAGCACGGAGAACCATGGTGCTGGCGGGGCTGAGACCGGGCAGGTCCCAGCACGGAGCTGGGGGTGGGGAGGGGGCTTGTCCCAGCAGATCCGTGGGGTAGTTACATCTGTGGGGCAGTTACAGCTGTTTTCTAGGCAGGACTCGATCCAGATGTTAGAACTCTGATCACTGAGTAACTCAGTCTGGGGCACGGGCGGAAGAGGCTTGAAGGTGTTTATCCCTGCACCTGCCCCGTAACCAAGGCCACCTGAGAAAATAGGAGCGGCCGTCTGAGGGTCGCCGTGCTGGAGCTCTGGAAAGCTGCGCGAGCTGCGGGCCTCCGTCTCCCCCGTTGTCCAGACTCTGCCTTCGGCCCCTCCCTCGGCTGTGCTGCGGGCTTGGTCCTGGCCCATCTGCCGGCTCCTCTTTTGATCAGGGTTGTTCTGCCCCCAGTGAGCAGTGGCCAGAGTCTGTAAGATGCTGTCACTCACTGCTCTTCCTGCCGAGGAGCTGATCACCGGAACGGGTGTCACTTCCAGTGGTGTGTGTACATCTTCCATATTATCGGTACCGAAAGGTATACCTGAGTGCTTTGTGGTGTTTAACGAGCCAGAGAGTCTTCATTCATTTGTGGAATGAGATATTCCAAGTGAGTGAAATTTTCAGGAAAATGAAGCAAAACGTAGTATAATTGTTTTGATAAAAATCCAAAAAGAAAAAAACCCACTCTTGGCAAAAATTAACTTTCTTGATGGCTCCAGTTTATAGAATTGTAAATATCCAGTGATTTCTTGCTGCTGTAAGTAGGGCGACGCCCCCAGAAGTGCTGAGACGCTCAGCCATGCCTGTCTCTGCCGGACCCCTGGCCCGAGGCCTCCTGAGTCTCTCTTAGAACTTACGCTGCTGACAGTTTGCCTTTTCCGTCACAGCTACTCTCTTCCCTCCTTATTGTCTGTTTCTGATCTACTGTGGGCTGAAAACAGGTGATCAGGTAGGTTAAGGAGACATTCAGAGAGTCCTAGAGGCGCGCCGGCCCTGGGGCAGGAGTGTGAGCGGGCTGGGTCTCCGCCCTGCTCCCGGCGCGGGGGCACGGGGTAAGCGGGTTACGGGTGCGGCGCTTGTCCGGGCGTCCTTTTGGCATTACCAGTTTCAGTAGACCTTTGCAACAGCATATCCTCTTTTCCCCAGTGTGATCATTCTTACCCTATTCTAAATTTTCTTTTAGGTACGCAATAACTGTTTGGTATTTTGATGCAGATGAGAGAGCGCGAGCTAAAGTAAAATACCTAACAGGTAAACACCGGGGCCAGGGCGCGCTGGCAGGAGGCGGCGCCTGCCCGAGCCAGGAAGGCTCGCTCCTTGTTTTGGTCCAATTCTTATTTCCCTTATTTAAGAGACGACGTCTCCCGAGTCGTCTTCATTGTTATCTTTTAACCAACAGAATTGTCCAAACGTGAGGGAAGTTTGAGGCAAAGGAGTCTGAGAAAATGATTCCAGCCCAGGCTGAGTTGCTGTGCGGTTACCCTTCTCAGTCGCAGGCTGCAGAGCTCCTAGGAGCGGCCACCTGGCTCCCTGTCGTTCTGCTCTGCCGTTCTCCCGAGGGGAGAGGCGGTGGCTTTTCCTTTCTAGACGCACACGCCCTGTAGAACCCGCCAGGGCTCCCACGTGACACGTGGGTGGCCGGTGCGGGCGGCAGTGGGAGGGGCTGCCCCCCCAGGGCGGTGGCTCTCGGTTTCCTAGCAGATGGGCCACTTACCTTTTTTTTTTAACCCTGTCTTGTTAAGGCCACACATCTGCTCAGTGTTCACATTACTGATTAACTTGCTGTATTTTCAAGAGCCACTGATAATCCCACAGCGACCTTTTAGAAAACTATAAAAATTGGCCATTTGTGCATTTTCTGTGTATTTTTAAAGTCATTTTTTGCAGAAGCCTAGTAGTGTGCTCCCAGTGACACTGAACACACTGCTGTTTAATAGCAGTTTGAATGGCTTTCAAACTAAAAAGGAAACAGAATCATCGTCTCTGTGTAGAGAACAGTTTTTCCCTTTGAAGATTTACTAGCTCAGAGCCTGTGCATTCGTCATAAAACGATGCTGAAGGCGGCTTCTCACATGATGTGTGTTTGCAGAATTGAAACACTGTGCAGACTGTGGGAACTCAGTGAGAGGCAGTAATAGAGGCTCTCTGGTGCTTAATAAATGAATGATTTTTTTTTAACCTTGCAGGTGAAAAAGGTGTGAGGGTTGAGCTCAATAAACCTTCAGATTCACTCAGTAAAGACGTCTTGTAGAGCCTTCGAGCCAGCGATGCCCCACCTCACCTACAGCAGGTGTCGCCGCTGTGAACTCGTGAGCACCAGTAAAGGATAAAGGAAAACAGCCCGCCAGTGGACATTTTCATAAGGAAACAGAAACAACTTTTTTGTATCGCATCAAAACGAAGATTTCGACTGTGTGGGCCTGTACTGCATGACGGCCTCCACACCTGTGACTGCTTATGGGCGGATATAAGTTATCAGCTGACAGTGGTATTTACATCTGGACGTGACATAAGTGCCCTGGGTAGAGTTTTTTCATTCTTATATTTTGCCAGATCTGTCATCTAGCTGAGTTCACGTCATCTCTCCCTTTTTTATATAGTCAAGTTTGAATTTGAAGTAATTTTTGTATGATCAGGTACAATTTATCAAAACTGAATTGAGAAAAAAAAATTACAGTATTATTCCCCAAAATAGCATCGATCTATTTTTGTAAACCTCTTCATACTATTAAATTTTGCCCTAAAAGACCTCTTCTAATGATTGTTGCCAGTGACTGATGATTCCTTTAATTTCCTTTTTACTTAAAATAAGAAAAGGAGCACTTTAATCAGCAACTGAAAAATCAGACTGTTTCGTAGCCCGTCCTGCACTAATCTGAACTCTTAGAAATTGCTGCTGCCGTTTTGGACATTGTTAATCATGAAACGTAACAGTAAAACCATCACCATTTACTACCAGTAACTTTCATTTCATGTTTTATAAGGAAAAATGCACAGTAAAAAGGTTTTATCTTTTAAGTTACATTAAGAAAAAAACAACTAAAGTGGCTGGCACTCAGTGAACTTGAGGTTGTCCTCAGCGTCAAGTTCCCAAGAGAAAGGGCTTGCTTTCGCTTTCAGACAGATCCTGTAGACTAGACGATCCTGCCCCCGCTCCTGAGCCTGTTCCCTTTGCTTCCCGTCAAGGTGGTCATCCTTTCAGTTGTGCTGTTTCGTTCCCTTCCTCCTCGCCTGTCTGACGTGCAGGTCGGAACCCCGTCCCGGAGGTGGGGAGATGGTGCGTGTGTCGCGGCCGGACTGCGTCACTGCACACGTGGCGTCGGGGCCGCCTCGGGCCGCCGCCCCCCACGCGCGATGCTGGTCTCCTTATCAGTCCCGAGAGTTGTATGTTTCCCTTGAAAAAACCAGAAGCGACAAACCGGAAGATTTAATTTTTACGTTTTTAGAAGTCTTCTTTATTACTTTTCAGAGCAAGAGGGACTATTAGAAGAATCCCACCAGGCCTCTAAGACTCCTGTTACTTAACATTTGAACTGGGACGAGTGTCTCCCACGTCTGTCTCCTGGGCTCTTCGGGAAAGCCTGAAGGGTGGTCCCCACAGTTTGCATGAATTAGGGTGTGAGACCTTGCCCACTTCGGCTTTCTGTCTCTGTCCTTGATCTCCTTTGCCAAAATAATGTGAGTGTACAGAAATCTTTCTGTATGTTTCGGTTTATGACAGTTTTAGCATCCGTATAGTTTGTATTCAATTAGAGACCTTTTCTATGGAAAGCTCAGTAATCTTTATTAAAAGATTGCTATTGTTCATGTAAAACATGAAAACCAGTTGTTGGATGAGCTGACAGTGTGGACTTTGGGAGTAAACCATTCAGTGCTGTGATCTCGCCTAGGAGAAACCTGCAGAAGGAAGGTACAGCTGACTTGTTTTCCTTGCCCATGTTCAGTTCTGTTCCACGTCATCTCCTTGTCCCCGGTGGTACCACGTAACGTTTCTACAGTAAGTGCCTCTCCACCCCGGCCGCCCCCGCCCCTCCCCGGGAGCACAGGCTCTTTGCCATCTGGTCTCGGTGCGGGACACCATGTTGGACCACAGCTCAAAAGCTGTTACTTTTAGGTCTAGTAGAAGCTGTGTGGTGGTGATGGGAGGTTTGTTTGATTGTCACAGCACCAACCTTTTGATCTGGGAGCCCCTGTGTCATTCACATGTGTATCTGCAGTCGTGCGAAGTGTCAGATTCTGCTCTCTGTAGGTTGTGCTTGCCGGACAGGTCTTAACTGTCATATTTTTTGGGAAAAGTTTATATAATTTCTTGGAGGTTGTTGTGAAAGGATCAAGAAATCAGGAGAGCCATTTCTTTACTGTCCGTTTAAAATCTGTTTATTTCATGTTAGTGGGACCGTTAACTTGTCACCAAGCAGGACTCTATATAAAGCAAAATTTAAAACTATTTGTGGCCTATATGTGTTTAATCTGGTTGAAGGTAAAGCTTCTAATGCTGTTTTTATTCAACACATTAACCAGCTGTAAAACCCAGACCTTTATCAACAGCAGGGAGAGAAGTTCAGGATTTATATACAGATAGACTATAAAGTCATGTAATTTGAAAAGCGGTGTTTCATTATGAAAGAGTTCTCAAGTTGCTTGTAAAGCTAACCTAATTAAAAAGATGTATAAAATGTTCTTGAAAAACATTATGGTGGTTATTTCCAGCTGTCTTTTTGTTTGTTTGTTTCTTAATCCTTTATCATACACTGACTTTCTTAACAGGTGCTTCCATCAGATAATGTGCTTTTCTGTCACGCGCCTCTGGCTGAGTGCATAATGTTTGGAATTACTTTTTATAAACTATAACAAAGGAGAGAGAGAAGATGGTAAATAAACACGGGAGTCAGACAGTTTTCGAAACATCTGGGGGGGGTAGCTGGACCCTGTGGGACCCACGAGCTTTGAGTCTGGATCCTCGACATTTGGATTCTTTTTGCTTTTACTAGGATTTTAAACACTGCTCCAAACCTCACACTGTTGAGCGTATCTGTTCCGTGTCACCCTCTGCCGCAGAAAGGAAGGGCATTAGGACTATCGCTTGTTGTCCCCGGTGTCCTGGGTGTGCGCGCAGGCAGGTTTAATTGCTGTGCTCTCAGACTGAACTGTAGGCGTTCTGGCAGTGTGAGGACAGTGTACGTGTTTGTTTATCTCGTGTTTAAAGTATTTTCCGTATGGGTTTTTGTTCTTTTCCAGCCTGTCTTGGGGCATTTGGAAGACTGTGCTGAAGTACAGCTGGGTGGATGAAAGGAGAGGGCGAGTGAGTTCAGGGTGAAGACTCGGTCCATTGGGTAGCGTGGCTAAAGGGCAGAGGTGGACTTAGATCTGGTTAGTCCCGGCTCAGCCACTTCATTGTGTGACCTTTGGAGCCCTTTTCGCCTGAAAATAAGCATAGTAGCCCCAAACTTGAACTCAGAGTCGTGTGTGACCTAAACAGAGTGTAGATTACTCCCCAGGTGCCCAGGGTCCGAGGATGAGTGAGAGCTGCATCTTGACTGTGGACTGTAGTTTTGCACATTTACATATAAACATATATTTATAACTGTCCCAGATACTTAGTAACGTCCGTGTACACGGATCTTCTTCAGTTAGTTTATAAGCAGTCAGAAGTGAACACCCCGTCTCCACAGCTTCAAAGCCCGGTGCTGGGACATCCGCGCGTGAGGCGTGCCTTCCCCAGATCCTGCCGTCGGGCCTCACAGAGTCTCCCTGGTCGCCGGCGAATAAGCGCCACCCGAACCCGGCAGGGCCCGGCACAGGCCCAGGATGGGCCGCGGGACCGGGTCCTGCGCGAAGGGCGTGGCCTGCGGAGCTGGGGAGGGTTTTCTGAGTAGAAAGCGCTGGCGCGCCAGCCAGCTCCTAAGACGGGCAGCTCGGGCTGTGCTGGGCGAGCGGTGAGTCGTGCAGGGAGAGCGCAGCGTCACACGGGTTCCCGCGGAGGGCTACCGGGTGCGGTGTCAGGAGAGTGGCCTTTGGCTTGACTGTCACGTGGCTATGGTGCTCTGCCAAGTGCCTCTGCACTTTTTGAAGTCCAAGTTACACACGCACATGTGGCTAAATCAGCTTTTTCTGTAAGCCCTTCGTGGCCTTCCCTCGAGGAAAGATTTTAATTCTTTTAAGTGATTCTTAAAAGTATGTGCCCGACTGGTTCCAAACAACGCAGCTACGTGGCTACATCGTGATTCCTCAGTGTTCGGCGTCCCCGCGCGGAAGGCCAGCGTCCGCGGCTCTCCCGCCCCCCTGTCCCCACCACGCACGTACAAGCACACGTCCACACCCCATCTCCTGCGTGACTACGTTGTAACTTAGATCTGGTTCTTGGTTAGACTGTGCTGTTCAAAGCTGAGACATAGAATAAACCACGATGACTTTTCTTCCACAACTTCCTTTCTGCCTTAATGCCTTGATTTTTCATTCTTTCCCTGTGGCGTCTAACCTGCGGCGCCTGGAGCGGCCACCCTCCATCCGCCCCTGTGGTTCTGCAGGTCCCTCCTCTGTCCTCATTTACCCCCCCAGTCTGGTGGCGCCGTCTGTCCGCCAGCACTTCTGGGGAAAGCGCCTGCTGGGGGGTAGATTTTTCTGAGACCAGTGTCTCCCCTGGTACCTTGCTGGGCGGAGAAACAGCTTGGAAATCAGCATCCTTCCGGCTTTTGAAGGCATGGCCTCACTGGATCCGGTCCCAGTGTGAATGCTGGGAAACCTGAGGCCATTCCTGTTCCTAATTCTCTGTCCGTAACCTGCTTTTTCTCTGTGGAAGCTCATGGAATAATTCCTTGTCCCCAGTAGAGGAGACCGAAGGAGGCTGTTTGGGCAAGGGACCGGGTCAGGAGAGGGGAGATGTCTCCCGGAGGCCTGCTGGGAAAGTGAAAGAAGGAAGCAAGGGTCTTTTAAAAAAAAATGATGGACTCAAACAAGACTCCAACCCTTCCCACCTCACAAAGAACAGCGCCACGTCTGCGGACTGCTGCGTTTCTCTGGCCCAGCGGAAGAGGGCACTCCAGCGTGAAGCCCCCATCCCTGCCTGCACGGAACCAACTGTTCTTGCAAGTCAAGGAAAGGAATACCTTTCAAAATGAGCAGAAAAGGGGAGACGACATCTCTTACACCACTGTAAGAAGAAAGCAAGAATTACAGACAGCTGATGAGAATTCCTTGACCATGAAGCAGAAGGAAACTGTAACAGTATCCCGTGCGAACTCAACATTCTTAAACAGGACATTGCAGGAGTAAAAGTTAACACCTGAAATGAGAAATTCAAAATCCCGGACCAAAAATGGAGCGAAGGAAAAAGTGAAACAAAAGCTGGTGTAAATCAGCAAAGACGTTGAAAACGACACAACTAGCTCCTATCAAGGTTAAATTATAAGGTACTCCAAGAAGAACAGACTCCACGGAAAATATAATGAAGGTCGTTAAAAAAAAGCAGGAAAGCAGCCAGGAGGACAAAAGAGCCACACAGTTAGCCAGCAGGACGGACACACACACACACACTGTTGTGTGCTTACGTGACGAAACACAGTGGTGGGAGCGGTCTCCAAGGAACAAGATGCGTGACCCTCAGCGCGGTGGGACGCCGGACCCCACGCTCGCCCTGGACGTGGCTGTTGGAGTATCTGGTGCTAAGCACGCAACTGAAACAGTTAAGCCTGGCTGCTTTTACCTTATAAACGTTACTGGCCATTTATGTCTGTGTGTGCGTATATGCACACATTTATATTTATTATTTTAAATGTATACAGATACACACAAGAACCCTGTGAGGAATCTCGTAAAAAATACATTTACCTCCTCCCAGTTTCTTAAATGTAGATGGAGGTTTTCATATATTTAGTTTGCAAGGAATGCTTATAACCTGGAATGATTTGGGTCTTAAGAATATCCTGTCTTGAAAATACACAGACTTTGATTCTTCAGAGAAATAGGGAGAAGTCAGTGTTCGTTAAGATGCCTTTGCGGAAGCAGGTAGCATGGAACTTGAGAAATGCCTGGTCGTTTCATTCACTCAACACCAGGAACAATGTAGGGAGAGAAGCCTGTGTCCTAGGAGGGTGATGCAGAGCGAGATGGTGGGCGCTGGACTCCTGCAAAGGAAGAGTGCTGTGCGTTTAGAAACAGTAGACAGGCACAGGGCTCGCCTTGTCTGGGAGACCCCCTGCCGGCGTGTACCCGGCTTGGCCGTATGCAGGCACTGGTTTCTTCCAGAAGACCGAGTGTCATGTTGGTGTTCAGAGAGAAAGGGAGACGACGGTGTGGCCCGTGGGTTAGTCCTTGTTTGTGTGAACAAGCACACGCTCCTGGCCTGCTGCGGCCCCTCCCGGGACCACAGGTAGGTGAGACGGGCGACTCAGAGCTGGCAATTACGGTTCCTGCTGTTGGCAAGTTTCTCTCTGACCTTCGTGGATTTGCTTTGCCTTCAGTTTTTCAGAGAAATTTCACTGACCAAGAGCGCCACCTGGTGTTCAGTGAACGGGGGTAGATCTTTCGGTAGGTTCAACACCAGCTTGTATCTGAATACAGCAGACATCATCATAAACTTTACTAATGGCACGATCCCTGAGTCACTTAAGAAGCTCAAGTCTTTTACTTTTCGTTTCAAAAGATGTGATGCTGAAGCATGTAATCATGTAACATGAGACTTTCTAGTGGAGTGTGAGAAACTAAAAGAGCCGGAGCTCAGCTCCACAGAGCATCCATTCACTTCAACTCCCAGGGCGACTGAACTGTAGTAATTGTCTTCGAGTTTCACTTCATCTGGTGGATGTGCTGCGAGTCAACACAAATACAGGTCGCTAAAAAGGCTACCACAGCCTCGAGGACAAAACTCAAATGAACAACAGGAAAGCATCGTCCTTGGTGAGGACTAACGGACTGTGAAGAGCTCAGCTTCGTCCTCCAGCGGCTGCGCTCTGACCTTCTAGTTTCCTTAAAGGTCCTGTAAGCTTTGGGGAAGAACCAAAACAACAAACCACAGTCTCAGCTCAGGACGGTGGGATTGTATGGAAGCTTTTTCGTTGTATTTTGCCACCCATCTTAGAATTTCCAAGTAGGGCACACATTTGTAATCTACAAAAGCAAAACGAAGCTTTATCAATTGAAAGTTGTATTTGCTAGACAATTGTATAATCTTAGAAATAAAGTCTATCCCCTTTTTCTATCCTGTCTCCCCAAAATGGGCATTTAAAGATTGACCTAAAACTGCCAGTTGTTATTAGGATATGAAATTCTCTTTTAAAAGGGAAAAACTGAAGCCACTAGAACAGAATCCTTTTTACAATGTAAATGACAGGTTTGGGTGTAACAGAATTCTTATAGATTGAAGGGAGTGCTTATTTAATTCCAATTTTAAAATTAACTCCAATTTCCTTGCCAGCTACAGTATGTCCATCATCCCTGAAAACTGACCAGATCTTGATTTTACCCCCTAAATACTTCTCAAACCCACCCTGTCTCTCCATCCCTGCCACAGCCCTTCTTCCTCCCATCTGTTGTCCCCAGAGAATCCAGTGGAACACTTCTCACATGTTCCTGGCTGCCTTACAAAGCTTTCTAGCCCCCACTGCAGCGCCCCGGCCTGATCAGGTGTTACCAGGGACCACCCAAACCGGACATCAAGGGGAGGGGACACAGCAGAGGGGCCTGGCCCTCAGGTTCTAGGTCTGACGTTCTGCGTCTTTCTCCTGCCGTTTCCCCCAAGCTTTGCACACTCTGTTCACCTGGAACAGCCGACTTCTCCCAGAATGCACTGGTCTGTGTCCATGTCTTTTTGTGTTCCTTCTCTTTGCAAGGCCCCTTCTCTCTGCCACCCCCAGGCTCACCCGACCCGCCCTGGAAGACTCAGCTCAGATGTAGGGTTTTCTCCTCCATCACCTCCATCACCTGAAGCCCCAGGCTGTGTTGCTTGTCCTTTAAGCTCCCCCAGTGACCGGGAGGAACCCATCACAGCACGTACCATGCTGCCCGGAATCCACATTCGGCCCGCTCCCCAGCCAGGCTGCAAAGCTCTGTGAGGTCACGGGCTGTCTTACCGCATGGCCTTGGAACCCGGCATGGTTTGGGCACCAACAAATGTTTAACTGCACAGTTTGTTAAACTGAATCAGAGAAAATGATCTTCTATGAAATTATATATGCATATATTCAACATAATACACATTTTAAGTCTTTTATCTATAAACATTTATTAAATACTATGGTCCAACTTCATGCTTAAGAAATACCAAAATTTGTGAACGAACAACCAGGCAGGCTAAAATGGAAAGGACCAGTACCAGTGTTAAGGCTGTGGAACAAGCGAGGCTGTCCTGGTGCATGTGCAGGCTGGCGCTGTTCACCAAAGCTAAACATCAGGACGTGGGGGGCGCGGCCTTCCGGGCCTGGGTGTGCGCCCAACAGGAACGAGTCCGGATGTTCTCAGCAGCATTATTCACAACAGCCAGCCTCCAACTGGAGGTAATTCCCGTGCCCATTAGTACTGGGATGACGAGCAGAGTGGCATATTCAAATACTACACGGCAATGGAAACAATGAACTCCCGCTGCCCAGAGCAATGAAGCTGCTACTTTATGAAGTTCAAAGCCAAGCTAGGCGAACCTGCGGTGACAGATGAAAACGGGTTACTCGGGGGGCTGCGCGTATTGCCTGAGAAGAGGCGCCCAGGACGACGGTAACTGAAACACCCTCCACCTTCACCCGGTGGTGGGCCCCAGGAACACCCAGCTGCGGGGCATGTGTGGACACGTCATTCTGCAGTAAAGCTGAGGAAAAAGGAAATCTGTAAGCTAAGGCCTTGGAAGTATGCCCACACGCTGGTGGTACAGCCATGAGACAAAAAGTCAAGTGATCAAACCATCTTTGTCCTTTTGCTGTCACGTGGAAAATAATGATTTTTAAAAGAAACACTTTTTAAAATGCACAAATGGTATTCCTAAGTGGTTTCAACTTTGGCTTAAGGTTCGTAATACTGTATCTAGATAATGTTCCACTTGCACAAAACCACTCATTTTGCTAAATTGAGAAAACAGCTAAACTCTGGCCTACAGAATTACTATAATATTCTGAAAGAAACTTATTTTACTATATTTAATCTCCTTTAATATTTTTAAAATTTTTTGGGGGGTGGGAAGACAATTAGGTTTATTTATTTACTGGAGGTACTGGGGATTGAACCCAAGACCTCGTGCATGCTAAAGCATGTGCTCTACCACTGAGCTACACCCTCCTCCCCATATTTATCTACTTTAACTTAAAATCTACTGCCACCTTTTAGCCTAACAGATACATAAAAATCTTTATAATATAGGAAATGTATTTTTGGTTAAGATTTTGAAGAAAACCCCAAAAGCTTCTGAGTACCCTAAAACAATTATATACTTTATACTCTAGACTGTATTTTTGGTCGGTATGTCTGACACTATGAATATTAACATCACTTCTGGGAATAAGTTTTAATATTAAAAAAGATTCAATCTAACAAAATACCTGACAGGATTCCTCACTGAGTATTTTAAGGAAAATAGAGAAAAAGATTAATAGATGTGTTCTCCTTTGCTTTTAAAAGTATTAAAAAGTATCTGAAAACTAGACATGTATACGTCCAGAACAAACTCTGGGCCACAGTATACACAAGGCAAGAGTGAATTACAGCACCTCAGACATAAAACATTTTAAATTACCATCTCATTTATGTGTATGTAAAACACTCAATACCGGTGAACTATTACAACCTGCAAGTCTCGGTATTAACCGGAAACGCCTGAGCAGCGGACACTGTGCCCGTGAGGTAATTCAGGTGGCACGTTGAGACTCAATTCGGTTTTCAAAGATTTGTTGAGCTTCTGCCTTTGATGCTGTCGCCTTCAAGGCACCAGTCCAAGTGCTCGTTAATCTGAGCCTCCGGAACAGCACTCTGACACACGGGGCAGGGGACCGGCCTGCCGAGCCCCGCGCCGCCGGGGCTCGGCGCTGCAGCTGGCGGGTGTGGGCTGCACTGTGCGTCGTCACCACCGCTCTGTATTTGCTCTTTCCTGATAAAAAAGTTGTCAAAAACAGTCTTGTCTTCTAGCCTGGGCCGTTTACTTGGGAATTTATCTCCAGGCCTGCTTGCACCCCGGGGTGCAGTCACCGGTGTTGCCTCCACGGCTCGTACGGACTTTCTTAGGGCTTTCGTAGGAGCCGCAACCCTTCTCTGAGCACCGGAAGGGGCCGGGCTCTTGGCGACGTCACGGGCTGTTGCGCCTTCTGCTGGAGACCCACGCGCACTTCGGGAAGCCTTCCGGCTGGCAGCTGGTACTCTAGGGAAGTAGTTGCTTACAACAGTTTGGTGACTGGTGCTGAGAACAGGGACGACCAGAGAAGTTTTTTCACTTGAACCATTCTGTTCAGATTTCACCTCAATTTTAGAATTAGGTCTTACAGCACGTGCAGAACGGTCCTGACTTAAAAGATCTTGGGTTTTATTAACAGCATGGGAGGTGACAAATTTTCCAGATGAAGGCAAGTTGCTCGTTTCTCCTAAAACATAGCCTTTTCCACTAAAAGGGATGAACAGCTGTCTCTCACCTCTGTTGGGTTTATCTGCAAAAGAAACAAATATTTTTCCCTGACTCAAAATGAATACTGTAGCAAATATTAAGCTACCAGACAGTTTTTTCAAAACGAAGAAGTACTCTTTTATCTACCTTAGACCCCTGTAATAATAATCTATTAATGGGAGAAGGGCCGTCTCCAGTAGCCAGGGCGCTCTGGTACTGAGAACACAAAGGACAGAAACCCTCCTCTCACGTTTAGACGAGGAGTGCTACCGTGCAAAGACCACCAACAAAGTACTTGACCTTGAAAACTACTTAGTATTCAGTTCAGTTCCAGAAGGGAAAAATCTGACCCTGCATTCTTCCCTCCAACTCACAAAACTGAGGATGCAATCTCCCCACATAAATCCTTCTATAGCTTCTCAGCGTACTGGGTGTTTCAGATCTGAGAACTACAGCTGATGCTCGCGGGCCCCTCACACCCAGGACCCTGCTTCCCCAGGGAGGAAGCATTGACTTCAGTTACCTAGGTACCTCTGCAAAGGGCAGCAGCTCTGAACTTCACAGGAAGATGAAGTGCTGGCATAGTCATGTCACGTCCTTTCCCCAAGCTTCTCCCAGGGCAGATACATACGTACAGAAGTCAGCTGGATGGACTCCAACTGATAGGAAGGGGTGTAGCGCGGACTGACGTTCCGGGCATTGTTACTTGAATTACTGTTTTTATTTTGACAATCTTTTTGCCTTCTGTTTCCTAATGACTCAGGATAGGGAAGGGGACTTCGCCCTCAAATGTGAGCAGTGGAAACTGTTGCTACTTTTACTCACGTCTATATAAAGTGTATTTTTCTACCACCATCTCACGGACAATGGGACGTGTTTGCTTAAGCCCATGCCTGAAAACCCATCCACCACAAACAACCCTGAAGCCCGACTCAGGCCTGGGGCCAACGGACGGGCCTGCCTCTCCGTGGCGGCCGCGGGCGCGGGCAAGCCGGGGGAATGCGAGCCACCAGACCTGTCTCCTCCGCCGTGGGGGCTGGCTGCCTGCCGAGCCGTGCTCTCCCTTGGCCTTTCTTGGAGTAGTTCTCCGGCTCCTTGATCTTCACAAACATGCCCCCGCAGGTCTGCTGGTGCTCGGCCCACCAGTAGTCGTGGGCGGACGGCGCCCTGTTGGTGGCGCGCCTGACGAAGCCGTAGTAGGGCCCCCGGTGCTGGCACGGCCCGTCACAGCGCCACCAGTGTCGCCGGTACTCGTCCACCTCGTCGTGGAAAGTGTGGTACACCTGGGGTGAGACGACGTTTCAGCGTCAAACGGGCAAGTCAATGACTGATTTTAAGAAAATATATAAGCAGCCTTTTTTTTTTCTGTTTTTAAAACTTTCCCTTTCCCGGAGCTGTCTGAAGTTATTATTATGTTTGGGGAAAGACAGCAACCATACTTAGCTTCTGTTCAAAAGTTCATTTTAAAATATGGGCAGTTAATTTAGTACTTCCTAAACTGTGCAGAGAGTGCAAAATTTGAGATTAGAAGGCAAAAAAAATTAAAACAAAAAGCCTCTGTAAATGCTACATGTTTTAGAAGCCAGATTTTCAAATGATCCAAAATTAGGATAAAGACAAGAAAGCTCCGATGCGTAAGAACTGTCCCACTGCTGAGCTGGCACTTCCCCAGGAGGCCCAGGCCCGGAGGGAGGGCTGACGGGCTGTCTCCTGGCCGCACGCCCTGCCTCGCGGTGAGCCTGCTGGGCTCTCATTTCCGCTCCCGGGCGAAGAGCGCTCCAGGGGCCGGAGGTTCGCACCCTTGCGTTCCTCGGGGCTGTTCCAGGTGGCCTAGTGAAGGCGCTCAGGAGTGTCCGCCAACTGAGGGAGCCAAGAGCTTCACTCACTGAGTCAAAGAAAATCCGCAGTTAATGTGCTTCAGTCCTTAAACAGGATTCTTTAGGCTTCACCCTCCAGATGGATCTCACTTAGAACGTAAGCAGAAGACGGGCAGACGGGGGCTCTGACTGACGGGAAGGCCAGCCCTCCCGCCTGGGCGGCGCGGGGAGGGGCACCACCGGGAAACTGAGGCTCCTGAGCGACGCGGGTGCCCCTCTGACCTCTCAGTGGAACAGGACTACTGTGTAAGATAAGGGGCATCGGTACATGAGATTCTCTTTTTCTTTCCTTAATATATATTTTTGTTGACGTATAGTCAGTTCACAATGTTGTGTCAATTTTTTAAAATATATTTTCATTGAAGTAGAGATTTTCTTTGTTTTAAACCAAGGCATTCAACTCTAATAAATTCCCCTTGTGGGAAAGAATGCTAAGCTTTCTATAACTCTGTGGATAAACAGATTTACACTCACTAACTTCCCATCGTAAGGGAACAAATTCTGTAACTCAGCAAGCCCACAGACAACGCAAGCTACATTAGGTGCGGGGGGCCCCGAGGACCGAGGTCCAGGGGTGAGGCGGTGTGGAAGACCCTGCCTTCTCTCTCGTTGAGAACGGCTCACTTAGCAACTCAGTGGCAACAAAGACAGCAAACTGGATCTGTTTCGCTTCCAACGTCTGCAATTCCTGCAGTCTGGGGATGTGGCTTGTGAACAGCGTGGTCACTAACTGTCCCACGCCGTGAAGCCGGGCGCCCTGTGGCGTCCCGCTGTAACAGGGCGTAACCTGTACCAGCAAGGGGTGTCCAGGCGGTAAAGCCTCAACAAAAACACACAGACATCCAAGATAAAAGAGTGCTTCCTCTTCTGGCTGAACAACAGGAAGTACACTAGGACTTCACTTCAAGTGTAAATGCTAGTGAAGAAATTAAAAGCTTTTTATCCTGGCAACTCCATAGTCTCCTGCCAATCTGGATTTTATGTGATGGAGTTTAATGCGAGCCACTTTCCTGATGTTGAAGTAACTCTATCTGATAATTAAATGAGCTTAGAAAAGTACGACTTGACAGCTACAAAATAAGCGGGGGTGAGCACTTTTCATTTTCCACCACACTGGCCTTTCCTGCCTTTTAAAAGAAGGAAATACCCAAACAGACCAAAGAATTGAATCTCCGTAGGGACAGTCTCTTGCTGGATGCAGTTCACTCTTGCTAAGCCCCTGCAGGGGCCCTGCACTGTGCGTCGCACACAGATGGATACAGAGCGGATGGAGCCACCCTGTGTTCAGAGGCGTGGGACGGAATACTCTGACAGGTTACGTGTCTGCTGAGAGGTTCCAGGGAGGGAGAAGTTATAATCACACTGGAAGGACGAGGAGCATTTTGAGAAAAAGTAGAAGAGGCGGCATATTTTAGGGAGGGGACGTATGCGGAAGGCAGGAGGTGAAAAGTTTAGGCAGAAACACAGCCACGGGCAGGGGAGCTGTGGAAGTGAGGAGTAAAGGAATAGGGAGGCTATTTGATAAAATGAATCAGTAATAACAAAAAAAAATGAACGTTTCATTAGTACTTAGACTGTGCTCAAATGTTCTGCATGCATTTTCTCCTTTCATCCTCGCGAGGATGCAAGAGTTGGGATGGTTTCCATCCTCATTTCACCCGCCAGGGAACGGAGCCGTGGGGGACGAAGTAGCCCTATGGTGCACGCCCAGCGGGCTGGCACGTGGACGCCAGGGCCTGGCTCCTACTGCTTTACTGACGGCAGGTGCTGTCACCTCCACTGTGACATGCGGACACAGGAGTCAGAGGCTCTGGTGAAGGGAGGGGCACGTGACACGGGAGCAGAACACAGGATGGGCGAAGGCGGAGCGTGGGCCCTGAGAGGAAATTAACAGGTAACTGGAACGGTCCAGGAGGGAGCTTGTGGAGGCTGGGGGTGACCACAGACAACGTGTCACCCCGGACGTGGTCAGAGGTCTCGGGGGCATCGCTGACTCTTGCTTCCTCCTACGTGTGGTCCCGGACAAGCCAGTTCGCTGCTCTGGGCCTCTCGCTTGCTGTGCAAAATCCTCAGAGACAGCCTCTGTTTCTACCCAGTTCTCAACTATTAATTAAGTCCCAGAAAACCCCAAATAAATAACGAAATGTCACACCCACGTGTGGCATTCCCTACCGTTATGTTCGCTCCAGTCAGGCGATTGATGCGATGCATGTGTTTACAGAACTCTGGACCATGTCCCTCCCGGTCTTTATCATTATTAGTGACAAATAAATAGGCATGTATCATTTCATGCAAGAGGGTCTGAAACAGAAAACAATCAAATTAATTTGTTAGGACGCTTCTGAAAATAAAAATGCGTTTTCTTACTCTACCCAGGTCTTAACCTTCTTTAGATCACAGGCTCATTTCAGGAATGGATCAAAGTCATGAACTGTCTTTGTAGAAAAATTTATATAAGCAAACGTTCACAAAACTGCATATAATATCCAAAGATCTGTAGAACCCAGGTCAAGAACCACCTCTTCCTAAATAAAATAAGATAAAATGGCAAAAAAAATGAAGAACAACCTCTTCCAGGAAAGCCTTTTTGAATATTAATAAAAATTTAGAAAAGGTCAATGAATTCACCCACAAAAAAACTTTAAAATTCTGTACAGGGAAGAAATTCCCTGAGTCAAGGGCAAAGGCCAACTCAGAAAAATGTATGTGCAACTATCCCATGGCTATTAATTCCTCAAATATAAAGGGCTCCTACAGTCAACAGGAAAATGACCAACAATCCAGTTTTAAAATGCACAAAGGTCACGGACAGTTCACAGAAAATGAAACATAAAGGACCCATAGACACATAAACGTAGGAAAAAATGTTCAACTTCATTTCTAAGAACAGAAATGCAAATTAACACTACACTGGTGTACCACCTTTTGCTTATCAAGATGGGTGAAATTCCTAAGGTTTGACACCGTCAGTAAAGCTACAGGAAAGGAAGCGTGCCTGTCTGTCACTGGGAGGGGCACAGAACGGCACAGCCCCTGTGGAGGAGAATCTGGTAACACTTAGCCAAAACTCCAACCACGCTCATCCTGGGACCCGGCAGTTTACTACACTAATGGGAACGGTTGCACGTACACGGGGTTTTCACTGTGGCACTGCCTACAATGGCGACACTGGCAGCAGGCGCCTGGTTAAGTGAGCAACGGCACATCTGCATAATGGATTCTATGCAGCCATAAAAAAGAATAAAACCCATCTCTACGAAATGATCAGGAGAAAGCTACAGAGAGCATTCTTTTAATGAAAAAGGCAAAATAAGAGTGTCTATGGTATTTGTAAGACGTGTGCTCTGTGGCGGAGAGGGGCTAAGAGTGGCTGTAAACACGGGCAAAACAGAGCAAGGAAAGAAAAAAGACCGGTGATGACAGTGTCCTTTAGCAGGCAGACAGGTGAGGACAGAGGGCTGGGGGAGACGGAAATTTCTCTGGGCCGAGCTTTCTGTACATTGGGGATTTCTGAATCACGTAAACTTTTAACACAAATGATAAAACCGACTGCTCGTTCCATACCAAGGAAGCGTTAGTTTAGGTACAAAGTTAACAAAAGCATTTAAGGCTGTTATTTCATAATTAGTTCTAAAAAATATTAATACTTTTTTTAAGAAACGAATATTATGGGGGGAGGGTATAGCTCAATTGGTTGAGTGCCTGCTTAGCATGCACGAGGTCCTGGGTTTAATCCCCAGTCCCCCCTCTAAAAATAAATAAATAAACCTAGTTACCTCCCCCCCGCCAAAATAAACAAACAAACAAAAAAATGAAAATCATAAAGGTCTTCAAAATCATACCTTTTTCATAATCCTCCATAATTTTTTTAAAAAAGAATTTCCATCGGAAGAACTAGACTGGCAATAATGAACTACAGGCTTATGAAATTATGCTGAACAAAAAAATGGAATCAAACATTTTAACTCGGTCATTTTGAAGACTTCCCTTTTAGAGTAATCAACTCCATCTCTAAAAATGAACTTTATCTTTTCAAATAAATGTCACTCTACGAGACTCAAATTCAAAGGCCATTCTATATTTCAGATGTTTCTCAACATTCTTAAATAATGATAAATAACTATTATAAAAGAGAAGCAATTTACCTTCCTGATGTTTGGTTCAATTTAAACACATCCTGAAAATGGTGCCAGGTAGCCTACTGAACATCTGTTTTTATGTGTCTTACCATTCTCCACATTTGGGCTAGATTCAAGCAAGGCCTGACACAACGGTGCCCAAACACCTCTATTTCCCACCACTGTTCTGTATCTGGCCCAAAACCACTGCCTCCGCTCCTAAATATGCCAGAGGGTTAGCGGCCTCCCTTTTGTTCCCGGCCCTTCCATTCCTTCTGCCGGGAGCGCCCCCGCTGCTGACTACCTGTCAGAATTCCATCTGTCTTGTCGGACTTGCCTCCATGTTTCCATTCGCGGAAGTAATAGCTCTAAGGCAGCCGTGATGAGGCCAAGCGGTGCAGCTTTAGAGCCAGGGAAGCTACAGCCTAAACCAAGGAGCTGCTATTCATTATACACGAGACCCTGGACAAGTTATGGCTGGCTCTCTGTCCTTACAGTGGAGCTGTCCTAATTCACAGGGCTGGGGTAACGGCACACAGGAGAGTAACTAGCTTAGTCCGGGACACAGCAGGCGCTCAGTGAGTGCTGGGGGTGGTGATGTTAGCAGTCATCAAATCTACATCTCTGAAACCCTTTCTGAACTCCTCAAGAAGGAATTAAGTTAGTTAAGTTAGTCTTTTCCTACTCCGAATCCTATACATTATAAATTAGGTAGCTGCTTTAAAAAATGGTTCATGTTTATTTAATCACTTACACAGTAAACATTCATTAAGCAACTACTATTCCAATTAGGGCTCCTAGTAAGGTTGCTCTGGTTAATCATGTTCAACTTGTTTTGTCTATTTTTTTTTCTGCTTATTCACTGAGTTGCCAAGAGAGTTGTGTTAATATTTGCGACTACGACTGTGGATTGATTATTTCTCTTTTTTGCTTCTGCTAATTTACGCTTCATGTCCTTTAAAGCTATGTTATTACTTTTAGGGTTTTATGTGTTTTTATTTAATAGATTGTTTTATCATTATAAAATGTCCCCCTTTTCTCCTAGGAAAACCTCTTCCCTTAAAATCTTTAGTCTAACATTAATGTAGCCCCAGCAGCTTTCTGTTAAGTTTTGGCATGTCTTTAACTGGAGGGTTTAGTCCATTTACATTTAATATAATAACTGATATTGTGTTTATGTCTACCTTTCTCTTTATTTTATCTGGGCTCTGTTCCTTTTTTCCTTTCTTCTTTAGTAATCAAGTATTTCTGGTGTAACAGTTTACATCTAGTTGCTATTTCCTTTTTTTTGTAATATAAAATTTACCATCTTTTTTTTTCCTCTTTTTTTCCCAATGAAGATACCAGGGATTGAACCCAGGACTTCATGCACGCTAAGGATGCACTCTGCCACTGAGCTATACCTACCCCTCCAAAATTTACCATCTTAACTGTTTTTAAGTGTACAGTTCAGTAGCGCTAAGTACATTCACACTGTTGTGGAATCCATTACCTTTTATTATCCTTAAAACCAGCATCCTTCATATTTCTAAGCATGTTTTAACTTACTTCCCATCCAACCTCTGCCACCTACGTTGTTTTGTCCATACATTTCAAGTGATACAACTGGGGCAATACAAGTCACACTGGGTGCATCTTGGGTACTTACAGGCATATACTAGACTCAACTAGATGCAGTCTCAAGAGTTTTTGCTAGTAGGAGTGACCATCAGCTCTAGATCTGAAGTGTGCCCTCATGCTGGTTTGTTCTGCCAACTCAGCTCAATGTCCTGGGAGGGCACCTTGGTGGCTGAACAGAGAATCAAAATTCACGTGTCCCAGTTGGAGCCTAAGTTTTCCTCTGCTTCTAAATCCATGACTCAACCTACCGGAACCTTAATTTCCTCGTTTATAACACACACTGAACAGAACTGTTGTAAAGATCAAATCTGATAATATACCTGAAAGATCCTAGCTTTGAAACACTATAAAAATATTAGGTAACCATTATTATTTGCCCCACAATAAAAGTTTGCAATGACTGAAAACTGAAAATTTTTTTACGTGTACCGGGTAATTGACAGCAGCCTAAATCTGTAAGCATTTTAAATGACTGCGCTAATCAGGGTTATGCAGAGTACCTCAACGAGATCCTTTCTTGGTCTCAACTTTAAGAGGGGTTCACTGAGTCGGATGGAGCACATGCCACCTCTCCCTTCATAGCTGCATATCCCAGCACACCTGGAAAACAACCAGCACAAAACTGTCATTTACCAAACATATACAAAAGGGAAACAGGAAAGAGAGATCTATATACACTCCTGGGCAGTTCAGACTGAGAGGACGCAATGGCAGATGGCTTTCTCGAAAGTTCCCCCTCTCTGTTAGGAGATGCTTGCGTTTCACCCCACTTAGGGAGACAGACACGTGAACAGTCGTGGCTTCCCTTACCCGAGCCAGGCTGCAGCTGCTTAAATATTATCGCATTCTGCTGCTCCCTCTCCTCCTACCAGCTATAATCAGTCTGTGGTTCTCACGCTTGGCGGTCGGAAAGGGATCCTTTCGGGGCATCCCTGATGATGATCCCTTGGGCCCAGAAATAGGGAAACATCACCCTTTCCCCACTCTAACGCGAGAGCTCACTGCTAGGTCGTGACAGCCTAATGAGCAGAGACCAGGATGGCAGGCTTCCTTGGGAGGATTCACCGCGTGTCGGCGTTCTTTCTTATGGGCAGACGCTGGCTATTTCCCCCTCCTGGGTCCTAAAGTACTACCATCAGACAAATCGGAAATGTATTAATTTGTCTCCTAGTGAAGGGGGGAGATTCAAAGAAACATCCTTTTCTCCCATTTTGTCCCTTATATAAGTCAAACCGTCGCGGGGTAGGCCACACAGCTTTCTTCAAGTTGTCTGAGCGGGAGAGAGAAGGGTGGGGAGGGAGAGAGACACCAAGAGGAGCTGCCTGCCCCCAAACCACACCCCCGGCTTAACGCCCCCGGAGCCGGGGCTGCGGAAGGGCCGCCGGCCGCCTCCTTCCCCAGCGGCGCTCGGGACTCACAGCGTCATTCGCATGCTCCACTTCACCTCGACGGCCTCCAGCTTGCCCCAGAAGAAACGATCGTTGAACTGCACAAACAGGGCCCGCAAATCCGGGGTGGGGTCCACCAACTCCCAGGACGCGTCCACCAGCGACAGCGGCTCCCGGGCCTGGTCGTGCCTCGAGACCTGCAGGTCCCACTCCTCCTGAAGCTGCAGCGCCAACACCAGGTCCTCATCCATCGCAGCCAGGCTCGCTGCCGGGCGCGGCCGCGACTCCGGGTCCCCGAGCCTCGCAGGGCCGGGTCGAGCTCCTAGGCGATACCGGCTCTCCGGCTACTCTCGGGTCAGCCCGCCGGTCTCGCGAGACTCTAGGAAAACTGGCTCGACAAGAAGAATGAGCCTTTCTCCGAACGCCGAACTCAAGATTCTGGGGTTTAAAATATAGAACTCAGCCCGACACGTCCAAGCGGGCTCGAAACTTGGGTTCTCAGCGTCTGAGCCTGAGGAAGTTTTCTGGAAGCTAGTAACCGTCTCTACGCTTCGCGGGTAACGTCAAACACCGACGTCACGCTCGGCCCATGCGCACTACTCACGTCTCTCTGCCTCGCCCTGCGCTCGCTTCCGCGATAGCTCTCGACGCATGCGCTCTAGGCGGCTGGCGTTCTCGCGCAGCCGCACTGTCTGCGCTCGGTCCCTTGCGCAGGCGCAGTGTCTGAGGCTCAGACCTGGGCGCAGGCGTACTCGTCTCTCTTCCATCCTGCTTCCTGAGCCCTTGGAGCTCGGCCCGGCTCGGGTGGGCCTCGACAGCAGCGGTACCGGGGGCGGCAATAGTGACAGCGACTGCGTGAGAGCCGGACGGAAATGGTGATGGCGATGTCAGATAGCGCGGCGAGCCGCCTGAGGCGACAGCTGGAGTCGGGCGGCTTCGATCCGCGGCTGTACGTGAAGCAGCTCTCCCAACAGTCGGACGGGGACCGAGACCTGCAGGAGCACCGGCAGCGCATCCAGGCGCTGGCGGAGGAGACGGCGCAGAACCTGAAGCGCAACGTCTACCAGAACTACCGGCAGTTCATAGAGACGGCCCGCGAGATCTCCTACCTGGAGAGCGAGATGTATCAGCTCAGCCACCTGCTGACCGAGCAGAAGAGCAGCCTGGAGAGCATCCCTCTAACCCTGCTGCCGGCCGCCGC